AGGTAACAATTAGATTTACTTCTGATCTTTACCAACAAAGACGTTGCGAAGATGGTCCCAAACAACCTTTGGAGATTGTGCTGCATCGATACCATGCCAAAGGCCTTTGTTTCGGTAATAGTCGACGACAGGACCTGTTTGGGTATGGAAGGCCCCAAGACGTTTGCGGAGGGTTTCTACATTGTCATCCGAACGCTGAATAAGAGGTTCACCGGACACGTCATCGACCATTGGCTTTTTGGGTGGGCTAAGATATCCTTAGTCACTCAGTCTCTCGCTTAAAGCTGCTAGAAGATACCTGAATTCCTTATGATAAGTCCTTCCGCTCGCAGGGTGGATCAACCGGCCCGTGATGCGAGAAATAAGTAGAGAATCGTCAATTTGAAGTTGGACCACTGAATCAAGCTTCTCCTTGCGTTCCTCGAGCATGCCGTCTAGTTTTTTAGCCTGGGGTACTGTTCGAGGGAATCCATCAAGGACGAAACTGAAGATGTGATTTTAACATGATACAAAAGCAACGCCCACATGTCCAAATGACGTACCCGTTCTTACAAGCCGCGTTATTTTCCAGTTCGTTCTTAATCATCCCGACCATGATTTCATCAGAAACGAGGCCTCCGTTATCCATGATTTTCTTCGCCTCAACACCGAGGAGCGTCTTCTTGGCTACCTGCTCGCGCAGCATGTCACCGGTCGCCAAATGACAAACGCAAAACTCGTCGCGAATTCTCGGGGCTTGTGTTCCCTTTCCTGTGGGAACAGTCAGCCAGTGAAGACAATCGGTTATCTATCCTTTGCACCTGCTCCAGGAGGTCCAATGAGAATTGTTCGAAGTTGCTGAGCAGGGGTTTTGGGAGCGGGCTTTGACTTTGCCTCTATGGCTGCAATCTTCTCATTTAGTTGCGCCACAAGAGACTTGAGATATTCGAGCTCGTCGGAGGCAGTCATCACGTTGAAAAAAGGAGAATGGAGATTTTGAAGGACCAGCTGAGCAGATGTCGGCGAAAGTCACAAGCGCGTTGGTACTGAATTTCGGTCGGGCTTTATCGGTCGGACGTCGGGATTCGGATATCCTGTTTGGTTCGAAAGCCCATGCCAAGCGCCGGATTCCAAAAATATCCAGCGCGACGTGGAGTTCGTGCGCATTGCCAGCGGTTGGGAATTTATTGACCTACATCCATCACGGCAGACCACTCATGGTACAGCTTCGCTCGTTATTCTTCCTAACTGTTGGTCTCGCTACGCGCCTCTATGCCAGGTCTAGCACTGGTGATTCTGTCCTGGTAATTGTTGAGCCAAATAAGCAGGACAACTATTCTGTCTTCTTCGACGGACTGAAGGGTTTGTGAATATTACTTTTCTTGAATGTATTCATCTTGATACTTTCAACTCAAGAACAAGGCTATGAACTGACTTTCCGCGCTCCTAAGGCGGAAGTACCTCTCGTCATTGAGTATGATGTTCCCAGCTTCGCCCACGTTATTCTTTTGGCGTCTGAAACGAAGAGTATGTTATCAATTTCCTATCCCAACATTTATTCTTCTGACTCTTGATAGACTTTGCGAAGGATATCACACCACAATCTCTTGTACAACTTTTGGGAAAGAAGACGAACCTCATCATCGCGTTGTCCTCTAAACAGACGCCACTTTCGTCCTTGGCCGCAGAATTTTCGCTCGCTCTTCCACCTCCCGGTACACCTCTAGTCTCATACTTTCCAGAACGCGAAGAATCACCTCAAGTCATTCCTGTTTCTGTCCAACCTAACTCGATCATTTCCTCGAATATAAATCCGGTTTGGTTTTCTGGCGTTCCGCATTCGATTGGAAACAACCCTATGGTTGTACCTATCCTTCACGCACCTGCAGAGAGCTTTGCCTCTGAAACCGATGGTGGATCTCCTGATGCTCTGGTTGATGCGTCGGAGAGAGGTGGCGAGGGTCTCTGGGCTGGATCTCAACTTGGTCTAGTCACTGGTTTCCAAACTCTTGACAATTCTCGCGTCACGTTCGTGGGTGGCGCTGATGTGTTCAGTGACGAATTTGCTCAGAAAGAAATATCCAAGTGAGTTCCGTACAATGGCTGAAGTTGAACCCAAATTCTGAACTGTTCTTCCCAGAGGTGTCCCTTGCGGAAACACTGCTTTTGCCCGTGATGTCGTCGCCTGGACCTTCCAAGAGACAAACGTTCTTCGTATTGAAAGCACTACCCACCATCGCGTCAATGCAACTGAACCATCAGAGCAATATACCACTAATGATAGACTTGTGAGATTTGAACTGCGCCTACACCTCGGCACGATTAACAACCCCTTTAGGTATATACCGCTTATATCTCCAAGTACGACCCCAAAACATCGAATTGGGCGCCATATTCAGGGATCAAAGATCTCCAGCTGGAATTTACTATGCTGGACCCACACATTCGCACAGCTCTGCTGCCAGTATCAGGCAACCTGGGCAAGTATTCAGTGACATTCCGTGCACCCGACCGCCATGGTGTCTTCAAGTTCGTGATCAACCACAAGCGCAAGGGGTGCGTGTTTTATCTCCATGCCAGGGATCTACTGCTGATCTATCTCAATTTTTACAGTTTCACATATCTTACGAGCTCGATGACCGTCCCGGTGGTGCCTCCACGCCATGATGGCTACCCACGTTTCTTGAGTGCCGCATGGCCTTACTACATGGGTGCCATCAGTACAAGCATTGGTTTCTTTTTGTTTTCGGCCTTGTGGCTGGCTGGAGATTCGCGCGAAAAGAAGGCAAAGGGGCACAAGGCAGAGTAGATATTTGTGACTCTTCCCGTGTAATAATAATGTGGAAAATATATTTATGGCACACGCTCGCCAATTCCTACCGCGCTAGTTCTAATTGGTTCGTTTTGACGATCGACTTCAAGTTTTCCCACCATCATTTGGCTTCAAAACATTGCCGCAATGATTGTTGATAAGCTGTTGGGCGGTCATCGTCATTGATCATCAAATAAGAACTCCCCGTATAGAAAATTCAATCGTACGCATACATACAGACTTGTGATTCTATGTCAACTCTCGGAGTAGGCCGTTCAATTTAAATATTATGTGACCTTTGGAAGATCGGCGGCGCTCATCACAAGTGATTTTCAGAATTGCTTGCTGCTGAAAAAGCAACAATCACAATGCTATGGAACGTGGCGCTTAGTCAGTGCTACTTTTGAACCAGGTGTCGGTCAGGGGCGGGTGTTATGTAGATATTACAAACCAATGACTAAACCCACATGCGTTATGGCAAATATCTTCGCCACTGTGATTACACATTTGCGACGTTGCAGGGAGAATAAGGCACTTCGGTCTCTCTTTTGACAATCAGGAAGTGGGAAAATCAGGTGATAAGGTGGATTGAGGTACTCGGAGGTCTGGTGGCAAGGGAAGCTCACATTCAGGTTCGGAAATTCAGTCGAAAGCGCTATAAATCCCATAGACGCATTCCGGAGACTGTTGCGGCAGTCCTCGATGCATAAATTACTATATATAGTAGAAGCGGCGGAATTGGGCTTGACGAAAAATATGTCTCAGTCAATTTTGAGAATCAGTCTTGAGACTTTGTTCTACTAATGAAAATGCACCTTTTGGCTATAGGGGAAAATAATAGAGAATTCCCTGAGGTGCGATTTCGGCTGTACAAAAGTAGCGTGACTAAGCGCAGCGTTCCGCGTGTGCTCTCCTGGTGCTATCAAGTGTGAGTCTTGGTGTGGGTGCGTTGATATTGACTCGCGCTCGCACAGAACAGCACTGGAAGAATGGAAGATGTCAACGGACAGGATGTCCGTGAACGTCGTGGACTGCTGGCGTACCTCGTGACAGAAGATACGCAACACCGGATGGAAAAAAAAGTGAGCGTTCTCCTATATCCTCATCATCGGATAATCCGCATCATGTTGCTGACACAACGTCGAATTCCAGCTCCTGGTCTACTGATCCTTTACTTAGCCGCTGAAGCGCGCCAGAGCAGGCTAGCGGCAATCAAGAAATGCTTTCCCCCTCCGCCGTTTATGAGGGATGAGTTCGGCTGATGTTGTTGTTGCCGGCGGTGAGAGGATAATCATATGAATTTTGCTACGCAGGCGCTTTGTTATTCGTCAAAGCCAAAAGGTACTGGTTTACTTTAGTGATGAACCGTTCAACTCGCTAAACACTCTCATGAGTAAGATTGAATTTTCTTCCACAGCCTCCTGCTCGCATGCCCCTGTAAGAAGTGTAGGCTGTGTATTTCTGTCACAGTCCTGACCAGGAACAATAAGACTACTAAGCCACGTTCCTTCCTGTGGCTGTTCAGGCTACTGGTTTAACTCCCTCTCAGTGCCACAGAGGGGCCCTGCAGGACAGCGGAGGGAAAATATGCCACCCACCTGAAATACTGATTCTCTACTCAATTACTCCGTAGTGGTGTTATCTGGGCACATATACCACTTCGTCTTTCCCAGAACATCCGATGGCGCTCTCAGAATGGACAATACTTGACGATCAGGTTTTTTGTTATCCTCTAACTCCTTTGAGAGACGATGGCTTTAATTCTTCACAGTGGCGAACGAAAACATCACACTGCGTACGCCTCACAGCCCATCTTTCCGGCAACGGTCAATGTCAGCTGACTTCATCAAAGAGCAATATGACAGTGCTCGTTGGAAGATCCCGTGTTTTGTTTTACGCATTGGATTTGATAGGAGGTTATACCAGACATTCCACACAACTGTTCATACGATTCATATGCTTGCTATCGCTTGATCTAACGGCCCTTTTCCAGTGGTATGGGCCTGTGTTAGTACGTATAATTCTCTCAGTGCGTAGGGGTATCGTGAAAATACCAATTCCGCGCCACGACATTATAGTCCATAGGTCGGGGATCCATAATAACTATTCTTTTCGACACATACATGCACACGAGCTGGAGGAAACTCGGAGGCAACGTTCAACCTCGAAAGATACCAAGTATTCATATGAATATGGATGGAAAAAGATACTCTTCGCCTGGGAGTCGAACCCAGCTTTCGCGCGCACCCAAAGCATTGACAGGCGCGTGTACTAACCGATATACTAGCGAAGACCATGACAATAATGTTTTCTCAATACAATATATAGTGTGAAGGGTAGTCTCAGCGAAAACTACTAGTTTTTTGACTCGTTCTCCGTAAAACACAAGGCAGTATCCACTACAAGAAGTCCTCTCCTACCAAGAAACTGCACGATCAGTCCCGAGCCCTCGTCTAGGAGAGGTGGCCACCCAACGTACCATTCTGAGGGATATTCATAAGAATGGATGCCTTGGGGAACAATTTCGGAACTAGGAGAGGTGGCCACCCAACGTACCATTCTGAGGGATATTCATAAGAATGGATGCCTTGGGGAACAATTTCGGAATATAGTCCCACCTCTGTCGAAGGGATTTCCAGCCTGATGACTGATCCGCTTGTCATGATGTGCTTCCATTTTTTCTTTCAAACGCGAAAAACATTTTCTCAAAGCAACTGCAATAGCAGGACAGTGGTCTCCTGGGAAGCTCGCAATCTTATGGAGAACCGGAAATCGCGTTACGTCATGGGAATGATCAGGCTATAGATGGTGTTCTGCAACAAGATGGACTGGGCGTGGAATGCATCAATTGATGCCTCGGATATTCCGCCAGTCGTGGTTCGATGACCTAGTGGGCGGGGAAGCTGCCAACCGCGGCAAGATCGCGGGGTCAGTTACGATGGTCACGGTGGTTCATGACTGATAATGGGCTGGACGTCGTAAACCCTGATATACCCTTCGGTAAATATCAGCAATAGGTTGCCTGTGATGAGCTGAATATGATGCTGCATCAATCGTCAGGGCTAGACCGACTCGAATAAGCAGATGCAAGACACTCAACGATAGTTTCTTCCAGACGGGTGACCTGTTTACAACATGAGGTCGGTAACATCTTCGAACAATTAAAGACATCGACATGACAAAAGCCATTTCCTTCGTGCATGAGTCGCGCCACCAAATGGTTGCGCAGTGTGAACTAGATGCTTGGAATGAACTACTAGATGCTTTGAAAGCTCGGAGGGGCCGAGCTTGCATGTATGCTGTACGGCCTCGGCCGCATATTGAAACAACCCAGATATGTATGGTATCGTCCCGGACTACAGCGAAGGTTAGACAAGGGAAAAACGATTGATTTCAAAGCGAATTCTTACAGAACTGATATTTTGAGGAGATAGCGATATTAAAAGCGAAGTTTGCCTTGTTAATAGAGACGCACATAAATACTATCATCCGATAGTTAAGAAGTTCCAAAAGAAATCTTCCTTGAACACCAGGTGCATCTAAATCGTATGCAATAAGAGTTCCATCCCTTGCTGTCAACAGCCACCGGCCACCTGGAACGAGACAGGCCTGAGTCACGCTTCTGCTGATTTTACGACTCCCAGTAGGCTTTCCGCTTGCGGATTTCCACCCTACATCGGCACTGACTCGACGACTTACCCAATCTTCGAGCTCAGGTGCAGTGAATGTGTCCAAAGGTGCTTCGAGCCGTGCTGCAAATTTGTGTCCGCGGACGTACTGTCGCAACTGTCTCTGCTAAACTGCAAGTGACTTAGTTATATCATAAAGGTGGCGACAGGTCTTAGGCAATCATATTAAAACTGCAGGTAGGTTAGGGTAAAGTGAGGTTGCCCACCTTGCGAACATTCATCCCAACGAAAACCAGTCTTAACTCTTCCATAATGTCTGTGATAATCTCTGGCGGCAGCGAACCGAGCATGGAATGGGTCAGGAGGGTCTCCTGCGATGACATTGTGTATCTGAGAGTCACAATGAGTGACATGGCCAGTTCATCCGAGTCGAGGATGGTAAGAAAAGTGTCTGAAACAATGTGACTCTAATGTTTCTAGTTTGGTGCCACGGAACGGCCCGTTGACCTGCGTTTTTCACGGGTATCCAGACATCCCTAAAAACGTCTTCAAAATTCAGAGTCGTCTCCTAGAACCAGGAATAAAGTGTGTGGTAATGAACAAAGCAAGAAACAAAATGACTATGTACACAATACACTACACCGCCACCGCCACCGACAGGAAATGGGTGTTACAACGAAAATAAGCCTTCGAACCATCCCAAAGAATAGGGATAATATGTTGTACAGCTTGAAATGGCAGACTCAGGCTGAGACGGAGTTGAGGGGAGTATCCCCAAGGCTCAAGCTAAAAGCACCCGGGCCGGACCAGGCCGATGTTCTAAGGGAAATGCCTGGCCCCGAAGCAAGTACAAAACGATTTGATTCAATGCAAGAGAGCTTCTCAAGAGGGACACATGGAGAGCGAAAATTTGCGAGATAGATTCAAACTGAATCATTCTTTGATATATCTTTATTGACAATTGATTTTTGATATACCCTTTGCAAACCCTTGGACAAGTGATTTTTGAGGCACGCATTTGCGCCTAACTAATGAACAAGGTTCATTTGCCAGTCATTGATAGTCTGGATTATGACGGCATCAGGAGCAAACCCGAAACATAAAACATCTCTGGGCGGAGAATTATTTTGATTCCCCATGTTCAACAGCCCCAGAGAAGGCCTATCAATCGAGTTGAAATACCCTGGGTCTTAGCTCACTTTCAACGAGCCAGGTCGTTCAGCATGCTCGTTAAAAACTCATTTACGAACAAAGCAAAGCATTGTTGCAATATATTAGGACATGGAGAACTCGAGCGACCCGGACTTAAACCTCAGTTTTAAACGGAAAAGCGATATGAAAGGTTAGAAAAATCGGTGCGAGCTTTCCGTCAGTTCATTGCATGCCCTTAGACTCGTATATGCCCTATGGTACCGAGCCTTAAGACAATATTTCATCTGGGCAATGAAAGTCAACGACAGAATGAATCAATTTCAGTACCAATTTGATAGTATGCAGGTGAGGAGTTTCTGCAAGGAAATACTACGGGGATACTTAGTCAGATATTCTTCTCCGCAAGCCAAGGCGAGACTCGTCGGCCCGGCGGATGATACAGGGTTAAAGAAAAAATGCCTGCCGACGTTGCATCAGTGTTCTGTTCTAGTCGGCTCGCATTCGAACTGAACTTTGTCTCGAAGACCAACAGCTAGCATATCTACAATAATGCCTAGCCCAAGAAGCCGGAAATCCATAATCTCCGTTTCCAAGTGAATGTCGGCGAGTTCTTAGGCCCCAATGGGTTACTGCAATGATGCTAACATCCGAAGAGCATGCGAGAAGTGAAAGTTGGTCAGAGTACTGGAATTCTCCGAGGTACCGAATAGTATAGGTACAATGGCTGAACAGCCAAAGGACAATATGGCAAATGATAGGTGTTACGTTTATTGAATAGCCTGACATGACCTTCGCATGATCAAGAGCCGCCTCGTTGCAGTGATACCGTTCGGAGTCTCGGCAATTCAGCTCCAAGCGAGAGTCGGCGAGTCCTTGACTCCGCTCATTGAAGAACTCATAGCGATTTTCAATACAGATCCGAATCGAAGCAGCGTTGGTAGGGGTATATGTACGAACTGATAGATGGCCGAGTTGGCGGCAAAACGAAATGTGTATTGATCACGACCGCAAGTTGAACTGCTATGGTGTGGTTCACTTAGTCACCACCTTAACGTGACAGTGACACTTGGACCCACAAAAGAACTTGGACCCACAAAAGAACTTGGATCCACAAAAGAAAAAGCTCAGCGAGAGAACAGCCCGTAGTTCAATATACATATTTGTCAGTGAGTTTGTTAGCCAACCACCAGGACCATGCAATCAGCCCAAGGGACTTCATAAAGTTCTCGCTGAGTGGGGCATTGACACTGAGAAGACCACATGCTGTTGTTGACACCTATCAAGGGATCTCAGGAGTCAGACTTCCTTAATCAGAAGTCTCTTATCAGGAAATGATTGAGAAAGCAAGTCATCTCTGCATTTGTGCTCCCTAAATATCATTGTAAACTCAATAAAACTAAAACTTGGTTCACTTGGGGTTCCCCGAGGAGATATCTGCATGAGAGCTGTGACATGATTTTTGAAACAGTAAAAACTAATATGCCACAGGCACTTGCATCATTTCAATACTGGCTACAATTCATTGGTGGGAACTTCAAATATATAGGCGGATAGATACATACAGATAAGGTTTTTTTTGGACATTGTAGGCTCAGGGAAAGGTGAATGACCTTCAGTGCCAAGAAGTACAAATCACACCGACGTATCCCTAGAAGCGGTTACAGGTACTTTTGATGTATCGTTTGGCGATTTTCCTATTTAGGAATGTGTTCTAATGCCTTATATGGAAGGGTGGCCAAATTGATGGTAGGTAGGAAGATAGAAATACCCGGGACGGTGACTTGAAACTGCATCTTAGCCAGTTTTGATCGTATGAAAATTCTGTCTCGGGAAATCTGTTCCCCTTACGAAAAAGAGCATTTTAGCAAGGACAGCCAAAAAAAAAAAGGAAGAATTTTGAAGGTGTCACATTCTTTATCACACATTTAGGTGGTGACGAAGTGAACTGCACTATAAATCTCCACTCGAATCGTCTCCTACATGTAGAGTGCGCTTATCAATGAAACGAAATAGTGTGGATGCAAAAAAGGTATATCCGAATGGTTAAGGTTAAGCTCATAATCTCTTTGCCTGGGAGTCGAACCCAGCTTTCGCGCGGTAAAACGACGTGTTCTGGATGACAGGCGCGTGTACTAACCGATATACTAGCAAAGAACTTGACAACACCCGATCGCGGAGACTCATATCAATGTAGATTCCGGATGTTCTTTAACGTGGTGGCGCCAGCTAGTACCAATGACTGGACTCGTGTGCAGGAAAAGTAGCGGAAATACCGAGCGTAATTGGGTGCATGGCCAGTGCGTGATCTTCCCGCCCCCGGGCCCTCGCACGTACGCGGGAACGTATCGCGAGCTTTCAAGGGGTCCTCCGAGGGGTCATCTAATCTTGTCTTCAAAGTCACGAATCCATCTCTGCGTACCAAATCACAATAACCCACCCCACAATCCGTCTCCTGACTCAACCAGACACACGCGTACGCAAACGCAAGCAAAAAAAAACTCTATCAAGTACACCTCTCCCTCTACTCTAACACTCTACCACAACCAGAAAAAAACTCAAAACTACAAACACGGCCCTACTCACAACACTAAAAAAACACAACTTGACGTAACACTACTACATACAACAAACAACACTTGTAGTACTCTACGACGACGACAAAGACAAGGGGTGGATCGGGAAGGAGTCGGGGGAGGAATACAATTGCGGGTGGGTGGATGTGTACATATGGCACAATGTTGGAGGTTGAGATTAGGCGCGGGGAAAAGAAAGAAAGCAAGGGAGGGAGTGAGGGAGACAAAGAAGAAAAGATAAATAAGCAGTAGTAGTATTAATGATAGTGTAAGTGTAAGCGTATAACATGTTGTTTTACATCTTTTTATTTGGATGATGGAATAGTGGAATAGTTGTGGTGTGGTGTGGTGTGGTTGGGGGTGTGTACACGTGTAAGGGAAAGGGGGAGGGAAAGGGGAGGGTAGTGATACAAGGAAAGTATATTGATGCCAAGTGCGTGGCGTGAGCGAGCGAGTGGCGACCAAGTCCCTCGGCAAAAACGAAAACAGCGAGCGAACGCGGGCACGAACGGGGAACGGGAACGAACACGGGCATCGACATCGACAAGAAACAAGCGAGCGCATATCCACAAAAACGAGCGAGATCAAAAAAAAACTTCAAACAACCTCTCTCCGCGCAACGTCCCCGATCCCCTCTTGATCAACCAGCCACCCGTCCGTCTCGAGCTCTTCCTCGGCCTCACGAAGGGCTTCTTCAAGTTCTTCTTCTCCCATCTCTCCTTCTCCTTCTCCTTCTCCCTCTCCCTCTCCTTCTCCCTCTTCTTCTCCCACCTCTTCTTTTTCTTCCTCTTCCTCCCTTGTCCTTTCCCCTCCCTCCGCTTTCTCCCCAACCCCTACCCCATCCGCACCCCCACCCATCCACACATCCCCCCACAAATCCTGTATCCTCGCTCTCCTCCTCGGATCCCTCACAAGCAACCTCCCAACGACCCTCCGCGCGCCCTCCGACCTCGCAAGCATATGTCCGACCAATTCCTCTCCCTCTCCTCCCTCTTCTCGTTCTCGTTCGACATCGCGTCCGCCATCCACCCATCCCTCGCAAGACGACACCACCTCAGGCCACTCATACTCCCCCCTCGCAATCCGCATCAACCACGCCCGCCTCGTCATCCTCCCTCTCGCCTGCCCGCCCTCACGTTCCCTGCCTATCCCCCCACCGCCGACACCCGCACCCTCCCCCTCCCCCTCCCCAAACGGCAACCGCCTCCCCACAAGCGCATAAAGCACAACCCCACACGCCCACGCGTCCGTCTCGCGCGCATCATACACGCCCCCTCTCTCCCCCTCCCTCCTTCTCCCTCCCTTTCTCGTCGTAGAGGGATGGGAAGACAGAGGATGGGGTGGGGAAGGCTCGCTCCGCGTCTGTGCTGCCGATGCGCCGCCGCCGCCACCCATGACGAGTTCAGGCGCGGCGTACGCCTCGCTCCCGCACCGCGTTGAGAGTAGCGGGCCCTCGTCTTCGTCGTCTTCGTCGTCCTCGTCCTCCCCATCCCCATCCTCATTTCCTCCGTTCCCTTCTTCCTTAGCAGCCCTCCTCGCGCGCCGATCGCGTCTCCGTTCCTCGGCCGAACGTATATCGACAAATCTAGACAGCCCAAAGTCCGTCAGTTTAATTAGAGGCGCGGGGGGCGGGGGGAGGTCAGATAGTGTTGGAGCATGCGAAGTCGGTTTTAGAGTCGTGTAGATTGGTGTTGTGAGGAGAATGTCTGGTTGGTGTTGTTGTTGTAGTCATGTCAGTACGTGTGGTGTTGGGAAGAGAGAAAAAGCAACGCAACGCACTCTCAAGCTTGATGTCCCGATGCACAAGTCCGACTCCGTGCATCCACCCGACTGCTCTGCACAGCTCGGACCACATGCGCTGCAGGACGCTCTCGCGGAGCCGGGTCCACGCGACATCGGTGTTGACGAGCGCGAGGAGGTCGCCGCCCGGGAGGAAGGGCAGGACGAGGACGTGGTGGGTGGGGGTGGAAAGGTGGGTGAGGAGCGGGGTTATGTTTGGGTGAGAGATGTGCTGTGGGGGGATTTAGTTACTACGACATAAAAAAAAAACGCGTAAGGAGAAAGAAACACTCACGCGAAGGACCTCGACCTCTCTAACAAACGCGACTCTCGTCCGCTCCTTCTCCCGCTCCCTCTCCTCGTCCTCCACACACCCGCCCTCTGCCGCGCCTCCACTGCGCACAGTCATCTTGACTGCGACGAGCCGGCCTTTCGTACTCGGGCTCCGGCTCAAGGTCGCACTTGCGAGAGGAGACACGGGCTCTTGAATTGATATGGCGGGTGGTCGTCGTCTTTGTGTTGCGGACGACGTAGAAGACGTCGACGATGCTCTGGAAAGGCTGGACATGAGCACGCCCTCCTCGGTGGTCGCTTCGAGGGTTTTGTTGTTGTCGTTGTCCTCGAGACTGCGTATAGGCCTCGTACCCGGCACACGGGCACGCAGCTTCCTGAGGGACCCTGCACGGCTGAGCGACGAGGGGGTGGCCGGGGGGGACTTGAGGGAGGCGTGGCGACGTAGGTCGCGGAGGCTGCGGCGGGAGCGGAGGACGAGTGGGACGGGAGAGAGGTCGTCTGCGAGCCAGACGCTGGAGAATGCGCCATGGCCGAGGGGCTTGAGGAGACGGAGCTGAGCAGAGATTATGGAGCCTGCGATTGGCTCGTCTGGCAAGGAGGAGAGGTCTGGCTCGCGGTCCTTGGGGCGTGGCGTGGGTTCGTTGGACTCGGAGCCGACGCGCTCAAAGGTGGGCGTCGGTGTGGGTGTCGGCGTCGAGATGTCGATGGCAGGAATCGCGAAGAAGGGCCGCTGTGGCGCAGGGGTCGGGGACGGGGGCCGTGTGGGGAACGGGGACCCGAAGAATGCGTGCGTTTTCGAGCCTGCCGAGGCCGGTGGCGACGGCAGGGAGGACACTGAAAAGTCTGAGAGGGTCGACGACGAGGAGGTACTGAGAAACGACAGGCGCGACCGCGACGACGAGACGGACGACGGCGGCGATGGATGCAGCATTGTCGACGACGAGGACAACTTTATCTCGGAATCGGATCCGAGTGTGGATATCAACCCGGACGGCCCTGTATACTTCCTAATCTCCGCTATCCATTCCATGCATGCTCTACCTTCATATCTCTGCTAGTATATCGGCTAGTACACGCGCCTGTCATCGGGTAAAGGTAGACCGCGCGAAAGCTGGGTTCGACTCCCAGGCAGAGAGTGCTGGTTTGTCGAAGGGTAGTCTATTTTTTTCCCACTAGCCCATCTCGTTTCCCATTATGAGTCCATACACTCCAGCCCCACTTCCCAAACAGACCTCGAAGCACATCCAGAATCCACACCATGTATATTCTTTACACGTCATCCATCACAGAAGTTTCTTGCAGTGCGTGAAAGCTGCCAGGCAAAGAGATAGCACCTCTGAATGTCCACAAAAGACCCACGCCCGGGGATGCCCTCCCCATGTACATTTACATAAAGCCGACACACCGCTCCAAAAGAACATGGTGGTTTCTACAAGCACCGCAAACAGCTCCAAAAGAACACGGTCGTCCTACACCATCCATAGCTCCATGATCATCTGCTTCTGTCTTCTTTGCTAGTATATCGGTTAGTACACGCGCCTGTCATAACAAGTGATTCATTTCATCACGCGCGAAAGCTGGGTTCGACTCCCAGGCAAAGAGCTTGACTGATTTTAATTGGTGCATTTTTTTCGACATCCTTTCATCCTTGGCATTCCGGGTCCTCGCACCAATCCGGAATCCTTCACATACACTCAAGAAGCTGTTGACCATGATACAAACTCACACCGGCTTCCCAGTTTCCAAAACAATCTATCTACATCCCCTCACACCTGTACATTCTTTGCCCGTATATCGGTTAGATAGTACACCCACCTGTCATGCTAAGACTATTGCTTGAACTGCATGTAAGCTGGGTTCAGCTCCCAGGCAAGGAGGTTGGGGTGATTAATCAGTGGATAAATTTCCGACTTTTTATCAACGCCATGACGCTATGATTTGTCCTTCATAAGCTCAGGCCCGTCATGATCCAAGCTGCATGCCCATAAATCAAATACTGACAGCAACAATATCTTTTTTATGCTTTCATGTGTAATCTCCACGAGAAACCAAAATAACAATATGAAAACCCAAATTTGAATCTTGTATGCCAGCAATCCAAGGGCATGGACAAAAAAAATAGAGGATGCATATACCTTCGGGATACCTCCCACTCAGACTCGATGCCGCCTATCAAACACGCGCTTTTGACTTATGGTCGTAAACCGCGTCGCTGTCAGGGGCACGGAATCCAAAACCGTGCATTCCACCGTGCTCGGAATCTGCTCCGCCAATATTCGCATCAGCTCTGCTGTACTCTCTCTAACATCATTGTATCCAAGCCAATATATCCGAAGCTTTCGAATCCACGTTTTCAATGGTGCGCTCCCAATGATCAACCCAAGTGCCCGCCAGTCAAATTCGTTGACTTGGGCACGGTGTCCCCTAGAGTCATCCCAGAAGACATGAAGAGTAATCATCTGTAGACGCAAAAAAGTAACTCTGGCCAACGTGGAGATGACCCAATCTCCACGAGACAATCTGATATTGTGGAACCAAAGAGCGCGGATGTTCGTATTGGCTGAAAGATCGATAGTATCTGGCTAAATTTGTTAGTTTCACAACGAGAAGTATATCGTCAGTACACACTGTGATACTCCTGACGTAGATCCAACTCTTCAAGGTTCGTACCGATCGGACGAAGATACTGTCCAACATCAAGGCATATAGCATTCGAAGATCCTACACCGAAATCCGGGAGCTCCAAGTCCAGTCGACTAATCTTTACTGATCTTGCTAACAGCCACCAGACAAGGCCAACACTCGTTCCGTTCAATACGAGTGAGCGGATTGGAGGAACAGGAGCCTGGTCTTGCCCCTCACTTGCCTCCAACATTGTTGAAGGCATCATTGAGCTTCCCCACGTCGTGCGAATAACAGCAAGATGTCGTAAAACCTTGAACTGCCGTAAACCTTCAGCGAATTCCAGAAACGAGTCGAATTTCATGTGATAAAGAACAAGTTCAACGAGCTGGTGAGTGTATAATCGTGTCCAGGACAGCATCTGGCTAGATTCAACAGAATACGTGGATGATAATAAAAGACTTTCAACTCCTGGGAGAAGTTGACCGAGGAAATGATCTGGGTTGATATTTTTACATGCGCGAAGGGACAGCTCGCGAACAGGCATGCCAAGTGTGGAGTGAGGCGCTTCGAGTAGGTTGAGTAGAACTTCGGGTTTGTTCCACTCGTAGATCTGCAACGAGGAGAAAAGGTGATATCGACTAGCCCGCATCCAAGCATGGGAGACAGTACTACATATCAAGAGTGTTGACATGTCATGTAAGTGTGCTATGAAGCGGTCGTGTAGTTCACCTGGGATGCGATCTGTGAGTGCGGGAGATAGACTCGACAAGTGTCTTGGAGAGAAAGCATCTGTCGGTCCGGGTTGAGATGGCATTCCCTTGATACCTGAGATCAGCCCATGACGCACGATACTAAAATTGAATTTGGAACACTTATGACCGAGGGGGAAGCGCTATCTTGAACGAGCAGAGTGGACTGTCGACACTTGAAGCTCTTGGGAGAACTTTGAAAGACCGGGATTCCGGTGTATCAGGATGATCCTATCATGTCGGCGTTTACTAACGTTCTTTCTCAACAGCTTAGAATACCGGAGTCTTACAATCAGAACTACGGTGATCTGGCCTAGCGCAGATGTAACCCATTCTCCAAATATCGTGGAACCACAAACGGGGAGGGGAATTTGTATTAGTCTCCAAAAGAACACGGTGGTCCTACACCATCCAAAGCTCCATGATCATTCGCTTGCGTTTTCTTTGCTAGTATATCGGTTAGTACACGCGCCTGTCATAGCTATTGATTCATTTCTTCACGCGCGAAAGCTGGGTTCGACTCCCAGGCAAAGAGCTTGCTTGCTCTACTTGGTAGCCTTTTTTTGACATCATTTCATCCTTGGCACTCCGAGTTCTCGCACTCCTTTTCTATTTATTAACAATTCATCCGGGATCCTTCCATCCACATACATTCAAGAAGCTGTTGCAAACTCACACCGGCTTCCCAGATCCAAAAAAAAAAAAAAAAAAAAAAAAAAAAAAAAAAAAACAAACAGGATCTACATCTGACCTTCTCCCCCCCCCCACCCCCACATCCTTTGCTTTTATACCAGTCAGTACACACACCCGTAGGACCATTACTTTGTCCAC